CACTTTCAAATACTGTAAAGATGAGCACAGAAAGGAGAATAGCAGAGACAACATATAAACTCTACTCTTGGTAAAGACTGGACTCCACAGAAGAATAATAGGGAACAATTCCAGAAGGAGCCATGGTTTGAGAATCTTCAGCAGACACCAGTGGTTCTGCAGTTCAGGAGGCAGGAGTTGTGCCTTCATGCGTGACTACTGCCCACATTTGTTCCTTATGTGGGGACCTTCATTTTTTTTATCCCAACCATGCCTGTTCCTTATATGTATACTTTTACACATGCAAAATAGTGTGTTGATAGATCATTGGACTTGGTGTCCAAAAAAGTCTGTGTTTGAGTCCAGAAGATGGGTGAGAATCCTGCCCAAGATATTCACTAGTTGTGTGGACCTCCTGCCAAAGTCACTTAAGCTCTCTGATACTCAGTTTCTTCAACAGAAAAATAAAGGATTTGGGCTCATTGATCTCTAAAATCCCTTCAAACTCTAAATATATAAGCAAAAATCTAGCAGTATATTACAAACAGCTTATGTTATAACTACATAGGATTCATAACAGGAATGCAGGGTTGATTCAACTTTAGGTGAACTATCAGCATAATTGACCGTATCAAGAAAAAAACAGCAACAAAAATCATGATTATCTCAATTTTGCAAAAAAGTCCTATTGACAAAGTAAAATACTCATTCCTGTTTAAAAAAAAACAAACACCAGAGAGCACAGGAATAAGTTGATCTTTCCTTAAAATAATAAGTAGTATCTATCTAAAACTATCAGCAAGCATTATGCGTAATGTGAATAACCTGGAATTCTCCCAATAAGATTGGTGGTAAAGCAATGATGTCCGTTATCACCACTCTTATTCAATACTGTATTTAAAATGCTAGCTATGGCAATGCTAAGAAAAAGAAATTGAAGGTATTAGAATAGGCTCTGAGGAAACAAAACTATTACTCTTTGCAGATGATACTATATTATACTTAGACAAACAACAAAACAGTTAAAATAATTAACACTTCAGCAAAGTTTCAAGATATAAAATTAATCCACATAAATCAACAGTATTTTCATATATTACCCACAAAGTCCAGCAGCAAGAGATAGAAAGAGAAACTCCATTTAAATAACTATAGACAATATAAAATACTTGGGAGTCTACCTACCATGACAAAGCCAGAAACTATATAAACCCAATTACAAAACACTTTTCAGTCAAATAAAGTCATATCTGAACAATAGGAGAAATGTCAATTATTCATGGGTAGGCTGAACAAATATAATAAAAATGAAATTCCAAATAAATTAATTTACTCATTTAGTGTCATACTAATGAAACCACCATAAATTATTTTATAGAGTTAAAAAAATTATGGCAAAATTCATTAGGAAAGGTCAAAAATATCAAAGGAATCAATTTTAAAAAACTGAAAGAAGGCAGCTTAGCCATACCAGATCTCAAACTGTATCACAAAGTGATAATCATGAAAAACAATGTGTTACCGGCTAAGAAGTAAACTGGTAGATCAGTGGAATAGATTAGGTACACAATACATGATAATGAATGGCCATATTAATCTAGTATTTGATAAACCCGAAGTTCCAAGCTTTTAAGGCAAAAACCCACTACTTGACTAAAATTGATGTGAAAACAGAAGAGCAATTTGAAGAAACCAGGAATAGACTGACATCTCACAGCATATACCAAGACAAAATTGAAATGAGTAGATAATTTAGACATAAAGGGTCATATTATGGGCAAATTAGAGGAGAATGGAAAATGTTAGCTGTCAGATTAATAGATAAGGCAAGAATGCATGACCGACTAAGAGAGAGAGAGTATTATGGAATGTAAAAAGAATAATTTTGATAACATTAAAAAGATTTTGCATAAATAAAGGGAATGCATCCGAGATTATAGAGAAAGCAAGAAAATGAGGAGGGAGGGGAGATTTACATCAATTTTCTCTGATAAAGGCCTCATTTTTTAAACATAGAGAGAATTGAGTCAAATTTATAAGAACATAAGTCATTCTCTAATTGATAATGATGAAAGGATATGAAAAGGAAGTTTTCAGATAAAAAAATCAAAGCTGTGTATAATCACATAAAAATGAGCTAAATCACTATTGATTAGGGAAATGCAAAGTAAGACAGTTCTAGATATCACCTCATACCTATCACACTGGCTAACACGACAAGTAAAGAAATGCCAATGCCAGAGGGAATGTGGAAAAATAGGGGCACAAATGCACTCTCGATGATACTGGAACTGGTTCAACCATGCTAGAAAACAATTTGTAACTATGCCCAAAGGCCTGTAATACTGTGAATATCTTTTGACCCAGCAATACCACTATGAGTTCTGGAGCCCAGAGAAATCGAAAGGGGAAAAATCTATCTATGTAATAATATTTTTAGCAGCTCTTTTTGTGGTAGCAAAGGATTTGAAATTGGGGATGACTGAAGAAGTTGTAGTATATGATTGTATTCAAATACTATTGCAATATGAGAAATGGTAAGGGGGATGGTGCCAGAAAAGCCTTTAAAAAAAACCTTTATGAATCGATGCAGACTGAAAACCAGAGATCATTGTCCACAGTAATAGCAATATCATAATAATGATAAACTGTGAAAGACTTATCTACTTTGATCACTGCAATGATGAAGACAATTAGAAAGACTAATGATGAAAAATGCTATCTACCTCCAGAGAGAACTGACGAACTCTGAATGCAAAAGGAAGCATAATTTTTCAATGAATTTTTTGCCTTATTTTGCAACATACCTAAAATGGAAATATTTTGCATGTTTTCTCATTTATAACTGACAACATATTGCTTCCCTTCTCAATAGGAATGGGAGGGACTAGAAGAAGGGAGAAAATTCAGAACACAACATTTTTAAAAAGAATATTAAAAAGAAATAGTAATGTTTTCAAAGAAAAAAAAAAGATCTATAGGCAAAATTATTCTGGAGCCAATGCAAACCTGCAGAGGAAAGCCTATTAAAAAAAAATATTAGTCATGCCTCAGAAATCAACAAACAAATAAGGGCTTCATTTACTGATTTGATGGTTGGCTAGAATGAAGAAAGTGGTGGGGGAAATGTAAAAAATGCAGATTAAATTTAAAAGTGTGTTGAACATACAACCTTCTTTTTGTCTTCCTGAAGAGCCGGTTGTTAGATATTTACTGTCTTATATCTACATAGGTCTTCATTATTAAATTTCTGGAAAAACTCTTTTTGGTTCCAGAATTTAGACTGCAGAAGAATAGCTAAGGTTGATAAGAAAATAGAAACATTTCACTATTCTAAATCATAAAATTAATCTCCTAGGAAAGAATATTTTATTTAAGATGCTTTCTTTTGTTTTTTAAATTGTCCTCCAATCCTACCTATTCCTGATTTCCTTGCTTCTTCATCCTGGGCTTACCCAATATGGCTGCCTTTTAAAAAATTTAGTTGACTTTTGTTTGAACACAGATTAAGGTATTTAGTTACTCAGAAGACAGTAGCACAGGTAAATAAAGCATTCTCTTCCATTACACCATTCCCATCTCTAACAATGTTAGACAATATTAAGAAAAGGAAAAGTACTAGAGCTTGAAAATTAGACAAAGACATATTTCATAAAATAAACATTTGTCTAATTATACTCCTCTTCTAAAAGATTTCATTTTTCATATTAAATATAATTTAAAGTGGATGTATAAAAAATATATATTACAATGTAGCTTCCTGAAATAGTTTTTACCAATGAAAATGACATCATATTACCATAAAATTGATTAACTTATTCCTTGGGAAATTACCTTTAAAAGCCATCCTATCCTTACAAATTACAAAATGCAGATTTTTTTTTTCAATTGTCCAAACAACTACAGTGTTTAAAACATTTTACTGAACTTAACTATGGAATACTTTTACCACTGCAACACTCTGATTGACAGCATTTATTGTTAGATGTAAATATACATCAATGAATTCTACTGATTAGGACTGTATTACAGTACTATTTATTAGCTGAGAATGCAGATATGAGGTATATGACATTTTTTTTAAAGAATGTTTCACTCATCCTTGCTCTTGCCATATTTGGCTTGGAAATATTTTTCAAAAATCCTAATATATATTTAAAGTCAAATAAATTATGTCTATTGCAAGTCTTCAGAATTAAAATAAAATATGCATTATTAGTTAAAGTTACCTAGTCTTTTTTTAAAAACATGTATTTAGAGTAATCAACACACATATGTGTATCTTGGATTATTAGTAGGCCCTCAGCTTATGTTTTGCTTTACTTTTCTGGGAGTTAATTAGTTGACTATGCTAAAAAATAATCATAACTAGGCACATACTTTCCATGACCTTCAAATTAGCATCTATATTCATGCCAAGAATAATTCTAATATAACACAATAAAAATAATTCATATTTCAATTATTTTGTACCTTTCAAACTGTGAATTTATCTATATTTATAGAAACACTTTAAATAAATAGTCAATATTAATTTTCATTGGACATCTGGAAGACATATATATGCATATACAGAATAATTAGCTCAGTTACAAAATTAAATTTTGGGGTTACATATAGTGTCCAACAATTCTCTAACAATGGTACACAAGTTTCTAGAGCAAGAGAAATGTCATCACAAGTACGTGTTGGCAGAAAACTCAAAAAAGCCATTAAAGTCAAAGACAAGATACAGCACATCTAATATATCCTTTGTCCTTTCAACAAACATCTGGAAGACCATTAAAATTCCTTCTTTTCCATTCAATTAAGAAAGTGACTTCTCACACCCTAGCCTGCCAGAAGTGGTTCACATGACCAAACTTTTATAAAATAGTCACTTTGAAAAAAAGTAAAAAGATCATCAACCATATATATGACGGCATGAAAATTATGCAGATGGCTAAGTGCTCTTTATAAATCAAATGTTTTCACCCTTGAACTTCATTAAAAAGCAGTCCTGACCTCTGAGTGGACCTTACCTTCTTGAACTGCTTGAAAGGGGTTGTTGCCATCCACAAATGTCACAGAAAATGTGATTTTCTCTGTCTGTAAGATCTCCTCATTCTGGTTGAGATCAGCAACTGCCATGCGAAATACCTCATCATCCTTTTTGGCAGATTCATCAAAAATTGCTCCTAGAAAGAAATGATTACTGCTATTAAAAAACAGTATAAATAATCTGTCAAGGCCTTTGGAAAGATGCCAAGGCTTCTTTCTTGTACTGGAGAAACTTGCATTCCCACTTAAAGTGTATACTTTATTTATGACAGGAATGAACCCTGTTCTTAGTACACTGATAGTGTTAACTTCATTCCATTAGAAGTGATGAATAGTACAGCAGTCTGATATTGCAGAGACAACACTAGGAACACAATGTAATAAGCTGAGGATATTTTTCCTTAGATAAAGTGGCTTATACTTCTGGAAACTTTAAAGGGATTCTAAGTTTTACAGGGTTTTTTCCCCCCTAACTCTAAGGCAGTTAAGACAATTGTGAAAACAGCATCTATTTCTTAAAGACTTTCGCTACTGCTTCATTTCTTATTTGAAATTCTTTTTAGTCTGAAATAGATTACTTGCTCTGGAAATCAGTTATACATCTAAAATCCTCCATTAAAAATTATACTTTGATGCTTTATTGTGGCATAGATGTTATCCTCTAGGAGTCTACCTTAATTTATTTTTAAATATTTTTCAATTTATATTTGTTCTTCCCAGCCCAAGGGGGGGGGAGGGAAAAAAACCCCTTGTAACAAAGATGCATAGCCAATTTAAATAAATTTCTTGCATTGATCATGTCCAAAAATATGTATCTCAATATGCACCACAAGTTGTTTACCTCTCATATAGGAGATATATAACATGCTTCATCATAGATCCTATTAAAACATGTCAGCAAGTACTCATTAGGTGCTTATTATGTACCAAGTACTTTACTTAGTTAGAGGGACACAAAGAAAAGCAAACATATGTCCCTGACTTTGATATATTAACATTCTAGAGGGGATACCATACAAACAACCATGTGCTTTGAAGATAATGAGTATAATGACCAATAATCTCAGAGGGAGCATGCTAACAGAGGGAAAGGAATGGGAAAGGCCTCCTGCAGAAGGTTGGGATTTTAGCTGAGTCTTGAAGGAAGCCAGAGAAGCTGTGAGTCAGAGATGAGTAGGGAGAGTATTCTAGGTGCAAGTGACAGCCAATGAAAAGGCATGGAATTGGCAAAGCCAGTATCACTGAATCATAGATTATATAGAAGAGCGTAAAATGTAACATGACTGAAAAGGCAAGAAGTTGTGAAGGGCTTTAGAAGCCACACCTAGGACCTTGATAATTGATATTGGAGGTAATTAGGAGAAATTGGAGTTTGCTGTGTAGGCCAGAGGACAAGGTCAGAACTGTACTTTAGGAAGATCACTTTGTCAACCTAGTGGAGGATGGAGTGGAGTGGTGAGAGATTTGATGATGGAAGAAAAATTAGAAGACTATACAATGGTCCAGGCATGAGGCGATGAGGATCTCCACATTCCTCATAACTGTGCAAGTAAAGAGACAAAGATGAACACAAAATATGTTGTGAAAGTAGAAAGGACAAGAATGACAACAGCTTGGCTGTCTGGTGGAATTTGGAGTGAGGAATCAAAGATGATGGTGAGGTTGTGATCATAGTTGACTAATATGGTGGCATCTTCAACACTGAGAGGAAAGTTGAGGAGAGAAGAGAGTTTCGGAGGGGAAACATAAAAGATTCTATTTTGGAAAAGCTGAATTTGAAATGTCAATAGTATATCCAATTCTAGATGTTCAGAAGGCAATCGGTGATTCAAGAATGGGCTCAGGCAGAATTAGGAGAACGTTGTACACAGTAACAGCAATATTGAACAATGAACAACTGTGAATGACTTCACTATTTCTCAGCAATACAATGATCCAAGACATTCCCAAAGAAATCATGATGAAAAATGCTATCTCCAGAGAAAGAACTGATAGAGCCTGAATGTAGATTGAAGCATATGATGTTTTATTTTCTTTCTTTATTCTTTTTTGTAAGTTTTCTTCTACAAAATGACTAATATGGAAATATGTTTTACGTGATTGCACATGTATAACATATAACAGATTGCTTACCATATTAGGTGGTGGGGGTGGGGGTGGGGAGGGAGGGAGAGAATTTGGGACTCAATTTTTTGTTTTTGTTTTTGTTTTTTCTTTTGGCTGGGCAATGGGGTTAAGTGACTTGCCCGGGGTCACACAGGTAGTATGTGTTATGTGTCTGAGGCCGGATTTGAACTCAGATCCTCTTGAATCCAGGTCCGGTGCTTTATCCACTGCACCATCTAGCTACCCCTAGAACTCAATTGTGAGCATGCATGTACATGTTTAAATTGGAAGAGTGAAGAATCTCAGCTAAGCTAAGAGAAAAGTCCTGATATCCAAAATTCCCTGCAATCTCTAGGGAGGCAAAATTGAAATCAGGGGCATGGTGAGTAACTAGATTCCCAGTATATATCTGTAAGAGTCCTGGGCAACCAGCAGTTCAGTTGCTCTAAAACTGAAGAACATTCAAGCACATTAACAGTGACTGAGTCTAGCAGCAGTCTATAGAAACATAATGGCACACAAGCCAACTGAAGCAAAATACATCATGAATTTGCAAAGTGAAGATCAGGACAGAAATGAACAGACCTCTTCCTAGATCATGCCACTTTGGAAGTACCAAAATCATCCCCCAATTGATGAATGGTCAAAGGATATGAACAGGCAGTTTTCAGATGAAATCAAAGGTATCTATAGTAATATGAAAAAATTATCTAAATCACTATTGATTACAGAAATGAAAATTAAAACAACTCTGAAATATTATCCCATATCAACCTGATTGGCTAATACATCAGAAAAGAAAAATGACAAATGTTGAAGGGAATGTGGGAAAATTGGGATATTAATGCACTGTTGGTGGAGTTGTGAATTGGTCTAACCATTCTAGAGAGCAATTTGGAACTATGTCCAAAGGGCTATAAAACTGTGCATACCCTTTGATCCAGCAATACCACTACTAGGTCTGCACCCCCAAAAGATAGGAACAGGATCTATATGTAAAAAAAAAATATTTATAGTAGATCTTTTGTGGTGCCAAAGAATTGGAAATTGAGGAGATGTCCATCAATAGAGGAATGGCTGAATAAGTTATGGTATATGATTGTGATGGAATTCTACTGTGCTATAAGAAATGATGAGCAAGACAATCTGAGAAGACATACACAAATTGATGCAAAGTGAAGGTACAGAACCAGAACAACATTGTACACAGTAACAGCAATATTGTACAGGGATTGAATGTGAAAACTTAACTATTCTCAGCAATACAATGATCTAAAATAATTCTAAAGAATCTATGATAAAAAAATTCTAATCAACTCCAGAGAAAGAACTGATGAATTCTGGATGCAGATCAAAGCATGCTTTTTAAAAAAACTTTATTTTTCTTGGGTCTTTTTTTAAAATCTATTTTCTTTCACAACATGACTAACATGGAACTAGGTTTTTCATGAATGCACAGGTATAACCATATCAACTTGTTTGCCTTCTCAAAGATGGAGGAGGGGAAGGAGGGAGGAAGAGAATTTAGAACACAAGCTTTTTAAATGAGTGTTAAAATTATTTTTATGTGTAATTTGAAAAAAATTAAAATAAAAATTAGAATATATCAAGTAGAAGCTAATGACTGCATTGGACATCAAGAATCAATGTAAAAAAGCCAAAGGAATTTAAAAAAATAGAAAAAATATGAAACATCTCATTAAAAAAAAAACTTAACCTGGAAGAGAGATTGAGATAATTTAAAAATAATTAGACCACCTGTAATCCACAAATGAGATAAGTGACTAGTGATCTTTTTTTTTTAAATTACAAATAAAAATTGCCCAGGTTTCTTAGAAGCAGAGGACAAAATGGAAATTGAAATAATTCACCAATAACCTCCTGAAAGAAATTCCAAACTGAAAAACCTCAGAAATTTTTATAGCCAAAATACAGAATTCCCAGATCAAGAAGAAAATAAACAGTCAGAAAGAGAACTGAAATATAATGTAGCAACAGACAAGATCACGCAAGATTTTGCAGCTACCATTATAAAGGAAGCAAAGGCTTATAATGTGATTATCCAAACGTCTTAGAAGTTAGGATTAAAGCCAAGAATAACCTCATCAGCAAAACTAAGTATAATACTATGCAGACTATTGGGGGGGGCCGGGAATGGACATTGATGAAATAGGGGACTTTCAAGTATTCTTGATGAAAAGACCAGAGCTGAATGGAAAATTTGCCATTCAAATACAAGACTCAAGATAAGTATTAAAATGTAAACATGAGTGAAAAAGCTGCTTACATTCCTATATGTGAAGGTGATATATGTACCCCTCACAACCTTATCATGGCTAAGGTTGTTGAAAAGATTCTAGCTAGAGGGAATGAGTGTGCTTATATTATGTTATTGTCATTATGTTAACATGTTCTAACATGTGCTTCAATGATCACAAAAGAAGATTGAAAGGTTGAGAAAGAGGGATGCATTGGTAAAGGAGGAATAGGAAAAGAAAGGGGGAAATTGTCTTACATAAATAGGATGCATAAGAAAGAGGTTATAGAATGAAAGGGTGAATGGGAGAGCAGTAAACACTTGAGCTTCACTTGTATCTAAATTTCTTTTTTTTTGAGAAGAAAGTAAAATTAATAATATAAGAAATAACTAAGGTGAATTTACAGTGAACAGGCAAATGAAAATATATTTCAGAAACTACTAAACTTGGTTACATTCCAGGAAACTGCAATTAAAGTAAATAAATATTTATTAAATTTTATAATACCCAAATTTAAAAAAATATACAATTACCCAATCACAGAAATTGAGAAAACCATATATTTATTAAAAATGAAGAAAGCAATCTAATAGTGTTACAAGTGAATAATATCAAAAAATTTTAAAATGTTACCAAAATAATCCTTCAAAAAAGAACAATCTATTAATCTTCTATAAGGAAAAATAGGGCCCTGATTCCCAAACTAGAGAGGAATAGATCAAGGAAGGGAAATTAAAGAATAGTATAATTGAGTGTTATTTCAAAATTTCAAA